AGACTTTTCTTACAAGCCAGAATGAGCCAGAGTGATTCACATTCTAAACTTATGATTTTTGTCTTACAGGTTGCAAATACCAAGAAGGAAACAGTTTTCAAATGGCTAAAGGATGACATTTTGTATGAAACAGAAACATTGCCTGATCTGGAGAAGGGGGTCTGTGAACTACTCATACCAAAGGTATGATGCATTATATAAAAAAAGACATAAGCAGAACAAAATATGTCTTTCAAACAACTTGTAAATTTAGCATAATCTTCTAATTTGCATCTTGAATTACCATGGTTTTTAAAGGAAATCATTAGCATTTATAATATTTTACAGCACAGTATTGATTTTACACAAATGTGGGTTGTGTTTTATTTGTAGTTGTCAAAGAAGGACCAAGGTGAATACAAAGCAACTTTGAAAGATGAAAGAGGTCAAGATGTATCTGTCCTTGAAATAGCTGGCAAAGGTAAAATAAAACCTTCTTTGTTCTACTAAAAAGAAATCTATTTTCCCAACCGGAAAAAATGTATTACGAAGACATAGTCATCTGTATGTTCAGCCATAGTACATATTGTTGCTTTATCATTAGCACATAAGAAAATATGTTTGTTAAAATATATTACTTGCATTCAGAGCTGTTTCAATGTTTTAGAAAAATGTATTATATTACTTAAGGTTTATATGAAATGTCGGTTTAGTCCATCATCATAAGCCAAGTTTTATCCTGTTACTAATGTAGTTAAAATGATTGAAACAGTGATGAACTAATTCAATTAAACATGTAGTTGGATTTATGTTGAGTAAAATGTTCTTGTTCCTTGTTTAAAAAGTGACTAAGTTAGAAGGATTTATTATACACATAAGCCTTTTATGGATAAATATTGCCATTTTAATGTTTCATTTTTCAAAAGAACATCGAGATTTCCTGTATTAATTTAATTAAACATGAAAATGTTGCTTTCTGATAAAATTATACATCATATGGTACATTTCCCTTCTCCCTTTCAGTGTACGATGATATGATTTTGGCAATGAGTAGAGTCTGCGGTAAGTAAATGCCTTCTAATTTTCATGTCATTTGGGGTGCTAAAATAACTATTTCCTGTGATGGGAACTTACCACTGCAAAGGAGGAAGTAATGGAACTGCAGTGCATATCCTTTGATAGACTGTGGATTAAATGGCACAACAGTTATCTGACTGCTTCAGTGATACTTTTTTAGCCATTATATTTAGAAAACCCACTATACATCCTGATTAGTAGCTTCTAATTTGCCAGAGGTGAATTCAGATGAATGCTTTGTGTTTAATTGTTAGCAACATATTTATTACAAATATTGAATAAATAATAATGAAATTTTAAACCTCTGACTTTGGTCATATGCATCAACACATTTTTCAGTTTTGGAAATCATTTTTTTCCTTTCCATGGAAACTGTGAGAACAAAGAAATTGATTACTAATTTGATAATATTTTATTTGTATAGTACATTGTGGTAAGAAATATAAAATTTTATTACTGTGGGCTTTTTAGATATTATCTCATTTGTATTTTCAGTTCAAATACTTAAGGTCAAAAACTATTAAGTGGCTTAAATATGACTTTCAACCTCCTCCAGTCAAGAGTCTAACTAGTACCTAAAATATCTCCTCAGTCCTAAGGTTAAGTGCTATCTCACACAATTTTTGGGGCATTTTGAGAAAATTTTTATGCTTATTTTGTCATTTTTTCTGTGACATAGATTTTATTCTTTTCTGCTTTTCACTTGTCAGATGAATGATGATGTTTAAAATGTGAGTTTCATTATTGATTATCAATGAACCAAATTGTACTATACAGATATGCAAAGCACTTTGTGATGATAATTTAAGTCATTTGAATGGTGGAATAACTTACTACCGCTGAATTATGTTGTATCAAAATATAATGCTCTAAAAGGCACAAGCATTTGAATTGTAATTTCAATGGCTTGGACAAGTGAATGTATATATGAAAGGAACCAAATTAATGCAAAAAGTATTTTTTATCACTTTATTCTCATGTACTATGTACATTGTATTTTGAGTTATACAAAGACAGAAGGAATAGACAGGACTTCTCACATCACTAGATTTTATAACTTTATTCCCTTGGGAAACCAGACACTCTATCTGCTGGAGAGTAGAAGTAAGCATTATGGAATCCACAGTAAGTATATTTGGGAAACAAAACAGATCTTTACAACATGCCAAACACTACATTTCATTAGGTTACTTGTTGTTGTTGTTAGGTCCCGTCAAGTTGGCTCCGACTCCTAGTGACCCTATGTCCAATAGAAAGAAACACTGCCCAGGCCTGCACCATCCTCACAGTCCTTGCCATGTTTGAGGCCATTGCAGCCTGCAAAAAGGACAAAGAGGCCACATGTTTCGACCTCCCCTAACCCTACAAGATGAAGACAGGATTACCAGCAGTA